ACCATTCTCGTTTATGCTTTTATCACCAAACGTTCACAATATCCTTTCATAACCAAGCCTCCGCACCCTAACCCTTCCATTAAAATCTCCTAGCATAATAATATTTTCATCTTCCTTACATTTTATTAACACCATCCTTACCATATCCCAAAACTGCTCTCGGATATAAGTGGGCTTAGTCACGTCTGGGGCGTAGACCCCTAGCACAAACAATTTTTAAGCCCACTTTCATTCGTATCCATAGCAATCTTGGGCTTACACATTCATACTCTTTCACACATTGGCCCATTCTTTCTGAAAGGATGATACCTACTCCCTGGCATGCCCGCTCGATCTCGTCTACCCCTGACTAGTATGCGGTATACATGCCATGTGTAGTGACATCCTTCCCCTTCCGTTTCGTCTCATTTACACATAACACATCTATTCCTCTATCATACATCATATCGCATGCTTCATCCATTTTATCATTCATTGCTCCACATACTTTCAACGTAGCCAGACGGGCCTCTGCAATTCACTTTTCGCCCCTCCGAGAGACAGCACGTGACGGGTGGCGAACCTCGTCGCTGGTTTTCCTCCCGGAGATTCTTCACACCCCTGCCCCATTAAAGGGGCACCGGGAACTTGGGGCCATTTTTTTTTAGGTTCCTCATAGTGCGAAATATAGGGTAGTATATTTTACGCCCCTACCACGGCGAAGAGCCGAGTCTGTGCTATCGGCTTGTAAGTCACTTTAATATTTAAAAAGCTTCGGAAATTTATGGGTTGTAGCTTGTAGCTCACCTGTCGCCAGATTGTTTAATTTAATGAACAAAGTTAGCGATGTAACCGTCGTAAACTAAGAAATTCAGATTTGTAGAATTTCTCACTGGATTTCAATTTCATCAGACTAAATATGGGTTTTTTGAACTTTCTGTACCGGACATGTTACCTTAACATTTAATTGCGACTAATGTAACGTTATATAAAAATTTTGGCTAAAAAATATGATAAGCCTTTTAAATTAATTAAAATTTGCAGCCCGTGGAAACCTGCAAGTGATATCAAACAAGGATACTACAGATGCGTTTTCATCCCTGAGTACTAAGATGAAACGCCTTAAAGTCTGTAATAATATTATTTACTTTCTTTCTCTTCACACCTCCGCTCCAGTCAAAAGGCTGCTTTTTTCTTTTTCAAACAATGTTCAAAAACACACATTGGACATTCCAACAGGACTCCAGTTCATAGTGCACGAAGTACGTAAAACTGGTTGACCGCCCGTGGAATTGACTTTATCGGACATGAATACTGGCCCTCTTCTTGTCCAGATTTAAGCCTACTGGATAATAAGATATGGCAACATTTGGAGGAGAAAGTCTGCGCTAATCAGAATTTGAAATCTCTCCGAGCATCTTTGGCTAAAACAGCGGCAGATATAGATATGAGTGTAGTGCGTGCTGCGATTGATGATTGGCCGCGTCGATCAAGAGCGTGTATTCAAAATAGGGGACGGCATTTTTAATATTGTAAATAAAATTGTATTCTAAATTAATTATATAATTATCTAAAAGTGTATCATTAAATTTATAAAAAGTTTTGACAGAAGAAGAATTTCTATTATATATATATATATATATATATATATATATATATATATATATATATATATATATATATATATATATTATTCTTTATTGCACCAAAGATTTTGTACAAAAGGCGAGCTTAATGCTATATGGCATTCTCTACCAGCTAACTTGGGTAGAACAGAGAGTGAGTTATGGGCAGTAAAGTTGTCATGATCACATTCAATTCAAAAATGTACATGCTACACATACATAAAATATATATACACTTACATATTATATACACATACACATATAAATAATATACTAATATATATATATATATATATATATATACCTATAAATTTATATACAAATAACTATAAACATATAAAGTAAGTGGACTCAAATTTGTTGTACGAATCATTTTCTTTAAAAACTCAGTAGCAGGTACAGGTCAACAGGCAATTTGTTCCAAAGGGAGATGGAAGTTAATGTGGAAGAATTTGACATAAACCCAGAATGGTGGAGAGGAGTAGACAGTAATAAATTGTGTGAAGATCGGAGATTGAGGGAATGAGTGTCACTACGGAATTGGAATCTTTCTTTTAGGTAAAGGGGTGAGGAAGAATCATTAAGAACTAAAAACAGATATAAAAAAAACCCAAAAAAGGGGAAGCCCAACCCCCACCCTATATATATATATATATATATATATATATATATATATATATATACATACATATATATATTTGTTTAATTCTATGATCAGACCGATATTGGAATACATCAATCTCATTTGGTACTAAACGCAAATTCTTTAAAACCAACTATTATAGTGCACCTTCAGAATAGTAGTGACGTATCTCAAAAAAACATGTTTTTGGGAAAACAAAAACGAAGTTTTGAAACTGCAAACTTTCAATTTTGGAATGATTTAATTAATTAATATTGTATGTAAACCTATCAATTATTTGCTTTCTGTATTAAGGTAAGTTTATCTTTAGTAAAATGAAAGCAAAATAAAAATGGTATGCTGCATATTTTTAAATAAAATTAAGGTTTTAAAAAAGGTTTCCAATTTAAGTCAGTATTATGCTGAAACTGTTTGTTTTTAAAGACCGTTTTCGTCTTAGGTCTTTTTTATTCTGAAATCATTGTACAGTTTTTATCCTATTTTTGAAAAGTGCACCACAAGAGTAAACTGAAAATATGCTATCGTGTCACATAAAGAAATAAGTCATTTTATATTTAAAAAGATCTGTAAAATTAAACACTTTTTATAACTTTTTTTAAAGACTTTAATTAAGTCACTTTGGTACAGAAAATAAACATAATAATCTCGTTCGTTTGAGTCGAAATCTGCAATCTGCAATTATAAAATTAATAATAATAAAATCAATAGAAACAAAGATATAATTATTGTATTATCCATATAGAAGTAGCTTTTTTATCAAAGGACAATTACAAGCATTCGCAAATCAGTCTTTAGGCAATGATGCTTTGCAGAGCCGGTGTTTATAATGATTAAGTTTAATTTTCTTTAACAAATACAAGACTAGTAAACAATTAAAAATCAATATTCATCGTTTAACACAATGTTTTAAGAAACTATAAAAAACAAAAAATCTTCATTAAAAAAGAGTGTGAAGTATGGCAATGCTATACATAGGTGCATATAATGTTTATCTACGTAAATAAATTGAATCACTTATAATGAAAACAAATTCTCCTTCAAATGATAACATTTATAAATCAATACTTTGGTAATACAATGCTGCTTAAAACTAAAAACTAACCTATAGCAGAATAGCCTGTTATGCTTATAAAACAGTTAAATAATGTTATTATAAAAATCAGCATAATAATGAGGTATCAAATTATGTTCAATCAAGGAACGTAAGTCAGTTTTTTTTCCTCTCAGATAACACCAGTCTTTGAGAGTATGCTTTGTTCATATCAATTTCTCTTATATCACTTATCTTCTTCCTTTTGTTTCTCATGTTTACCTTGTTGAACTCATTTTGACTATAAGATGTCTTATAGTAAAATATAAACGTTTCCTCTTTAGAAAATTTAAGTATTTTTACGTCATTCCAAGTCACACTGCCTTTATTTTCATTTTAAGTAAAGTTATAAGCCCATTTCTCTTAAAACATCTTTGAGTCCCAAAAAAAAAAGAATTCTGCTTTTATTTGTGGTCAAGTCTGCTTGCCTAAATGGTTTAATTAAATATGTTCTAAGTGGGAACGCATCATCCACAAACACATAAGGCAACTTTCTAGTGCTATTTGCGACAACTGTGTCAGTTGGAATACACAACTGATTGTTATCAAGTTTTTCAAAAACTTAGTGTTTTTGAGTACTCCACCATCAGAAATTCTTCCATTTGTTCCAAAATCACATACAAGAAATCGATAATTTCCATCAACAATTGCTAATAATACCATGCTATGATGGTTTTTATAGTTGAAATACTCCGAGCTACATCCAGCGGGAAGAAAAATTGCTATGTGTTTACCATCTATTGCGCCTAAACAATGCGGGAAATTCCATCTCTTTTCAAACACTTTTGTCACATCCTTCCATTCTTCTTCCGAGCGTGGGAACTGTAAAAAAAATTGTTTCAGAAAATTGAAAGTGAAGCACAGTCATCTCCGGCCGCCCAGTCAACTTCACAGTCACCTACACAGTCAGTTCCAGAGACTCGTGCGATTGCAAACACATCGTTTAATAGAAGTGGCCAAAAAGGAATGCAAATGAAAACCTAACTCCTGCTGTTTTACAGTCTGTTCAAAATCATTTCAAAAGGTCCGCAATTAGTAATGGTCGATTTTATATTTTTGAAGCAAACGTTGCAGCTAACCTGAGGGACCTCACAAAACATCAACGTATTTTAGCCGAAAAAATAATTAACGAAACATTACTTCTCGCAGAAATGGAAAATTTGACTATTTCACACCAAGTGATTGATTCAACTAGCGTGCGTTTTACCAATTATTGTTACAACATTCGCAGCCCCGTTTCACATACTCCCAGTTCTGGTTTCAACAATCCTAGCCCAGTACCTTATCAGAATTCAAATTTTGAAATCCAAACACATCTAGGTGATCTTGTTGAGGAGTTTGCAGTTAATTCTGCAAACTCCTCAACAAGATCAATCCCAACCAATACAAAATTCAGCGGCTACTTATTTATCTTCTTTTGATAGTAATACGAATTAATAAACCGTCATTATTATGATAAATACAAATTAATAAACATAATATTTTAAGTAATTAGTAGTTTTTATTCCTTACCTTAAAATATTCTTTGCGGAGAACCTTATAAATTGATTCACAGATTTCCGGTATTATGCGACCCAAGGCTTGAGATGAAATAATACTAGAGAATTTCAAATCTTCATAATTTCTTCCTGTTGATAAAAACCTCAAAGTAGCTACAAGCCTGTCATGGGGTGGAATAGCATTTCTCATAATAGTGCTCCTCGATAATTGGTGCTACCATATTCAATAGATGTAAGTACGAGTACGTATCATGATCCATTCTTAAAAAATTGTGCCAGTCTTTTGGAATCATCATTAATTCCGCCAACAAATTGACATGAGAATTAACACTTCTTTTCATTAGCCATTCTTTGCACCAGATGCTACGCTTTTTGCGCTTCACTTTTTTTTCTTTAAGGGCGAATATTAATCCAACAACTGCTAAAACGTCGTCCGTCGAAGCCATCGCTGACATGCGTCGGCACTGTTTATCGTACCGTCTGATCGTAACGATTTCTCGTAGTGTATATGGCTTGTATGCCATGTACGTTAAACTGTACCATTCGAACTGTACAGTCTGATCGTAACGATTTCTCGTAGCGTATATGTCCACCATTAGTGGCCCTCTATGACAGTAACTTGATTTCTTAGATTTTTGAGTTAAGTCCATACCATACTGAAGGTGCGATATATGCTATGATAGCTCGTATTCACGTTATATCTATTTATTTAACAAATTTTCGCTTCTGCCTCTTCACAGAAGAAAGATACTCATATATGCCTAGAGGGATACGCATGGCCTTCGTTCCTCATTAAGACTCATAGTGCAGGCATATAACGATTATTTTGGCAATATTGATATTTTTACTGTCTCACATTTGTGCATTAACATATTTAAGAATAAATTACGAGTACTGCAAATTTAATATTTAATTCGTGCAAAATTTTTATACTGTCCAATAGTTATCTTTTTGTGATCGTAATTTCTTTCTCTTCAACTCGTTTCTTATTGTTTATATTAATATGTTGTATACTATGATGAATGTATAATATACTATGATAATACTTTCATAAATACCTGTCTACATTTTTTTGTACATCTTATTAAATAAAATATAAAAAAATAAAAAAATGTAATAATAAAAAATAATCGGGATCGATTACAAAACTTGGTTTCGACATTACCGATAACAACATATCTACGAATCATAGCGACAATTATTGAAAAAAAAATATTAAAACTAAAATCCTGCATAGAACTAAAAATTATAAATTAAATATTATTCTTAAAATAATTATTATAAAATTTATTCATATTCTGGCTTTAATTCATCTATATGTCGCAGTCAACTAGCTTAATAGACCTTTCGGTTAACAGCCTAGCATTTTAGTACTAAAGGGTGCCGTTCAACTAGCAGGCTGAATGATATTCAGTCGATGCCTTCAGTACAATATCGTAACTATCTTGTAATATCAGCAACAGTTGGTTAATGTGCGGCTGGGGTGGTCCTTGGATCACCCTTAAGCCCCTAAGCACATTGTGCATAATTAGACATGAAATGTTTTATTGGACGCATCGGCTGAAAAGCATGGGCTGAATATGAATCGGGCAACTAGTTAACGGCATAAGCTGAAAGGCTAATTAAGCTAATTGGCTGCGACATATACACCATGACGTAACATTAAAACCAGAATGTGATTTTTTCAATTCTTGTTAGTTTTTTGAAGTTGGCTTTTACTATATATTTTTAGTATTTTGCCTTTTTTGAGTTAACTTAGGAATATCACAAATCGATCTCTTCAACTGGTTACTTAAAAATTTCATCCACTATTTAGAACAACACCTGAAGTAACCTATTTCATAAAAAAAAGCAATAATAAAAACCGTATACAATTGCCGACGACATCGCGACCAGAGAAAAAACATACTGTTTAATTGTAAACTTACTCCTTTTTGGTAGTCGGCTAAAAATAATAAATATAAAACAACATTGTTTCGAAGATTGAGGTTGCATAGGATTTATCTAATCATATCTAGCCAAACAATGTTTAGGTCCATTAAGCGAAGCTTTCCCGCCCTTGTTAAAATGAAATTAATGAATATATGGAATTAGGGAAACTATTTTATTGAAACCGAATAATTAGATCATTTACAACTTAACAACCCGGCCTTGGAAAATTTCATCGCTCCATTTCGTCTTAAGGTGCGACTATGGGAATAATCATAACATATATTCTCACGCCTATCTTCCAGGGTTGGACCAGCTTTAAGAGTATACATAAAATATGCAGTAACAAATAGACTAATAATAGTAATTGCCACTATACTTAGTAGTTACGGTATGTACAACTTTATGTATCAGGCTACAAAAAAGTTACCTGAAATATATACAAGTGAAAATAACAGGCTGACAAAAAAGTACAAGCCCTATCTGAACTATCGATTATGCAAAAAAAAAATATTTTTATCTTAAAATTTAAACGTAATCGTGGGTCTCTCTCTTTATTAAAACTAGAGATTACGCAAAACATAAAAATGCTTTAAAAACTTAAGTAATCAAGGTAAGCGAGTGAATAACAATTTCATTTTGCAAGACCTCCTTTCTTTGTGATTTATTTCATAATAAGGGTTGAGGGTAGTGCCAAAAAAACGAATCCAGAAAAAGGTCTTTCTAAGTCTCTTT